GTTTTGACACAAATTTCACGATTCGATTCTCATTCACAAGCTTGCGATTCGATTAGATTCAATATCGATTATTTTGTATATATATATCAGGTACACATGCCAAATTTTCTCAAGGAAAAAAATTATTTTAACTTATGCTGTAAAATATACATGAGAGTCAGTTGGTACTACATTACTATAATATTGAAGGTTGAAACTGACTGATTTTTTAGGCTTGAATTGCTTAAATTACACTTAATGAAGTTAAGTATAAATTAAACATCGAAGAACAGTAAAAGTTACAATGAATATATTATATGGGGCATATATTTAGCAAAATGCCCCTCTCTACAGTTTATTTTTCTAGCTGAATAATAAGTTTATGGTCACAGAATATGTTTGTTTCTGAGGTAAATGTGACGTTACGTGACATTGTTTACAAGCCGTTATATTGACATCTTTGCGCGGCTGAAACACAGATTGAGAGATTACATGAGACAGGATACGGATTGTAAAGTTGTACTTTCTTTTAACTTACCTTCAGATGTTTAGTCATGTTTATTTTGTGCTGAAACTGGTATTAATGTGGAGGGCAATGCAATGGACAGAATTTGAAATCTGAGACTTTGTTTCATATTAAAAGTACCAAAGCACAATGCTTATTGCGATTTATTGGTTGGGAAGTGCCCTTCAACGTTCCGTCCATTAACTGAAAACAGGCTAGACTAATCGATTCTTGGGATTTAAGAATCGATATTGTTCCATAAAAATGTGAATCGATTAAAATCGAGATATCAATATTTTTTACCCAGCCCTAGTAACTAATGTTAAAATATTTAATGTCAAATAAATTACATTTCAGAAACTTAAAATTTTTGATTTTGTTAATTTTTTTATGAAGACAAACATAAATAGTGGTAATTGTGATAAAATGGTGATTTTAAAAGTATCAGCTGTATGCAAAGTGACCCACATTTAGTTTTTGACTACTGAAAATGTTTCATCTTACTCGTGGAGCCACATTGAGATCCCCATATCTTTGAAACTGAACCATATTGTGGCTTAAAAATGAAGATACCAACAGAAAAGTTTAAGAACCCGTTTCTAAAAGGATATTAAATTATATTTAATACTTCTTGAGTTACAAACATATTTGAACACACAAATGTTTTTTTTTTTTTTTTTTTTTTTTTTTTTTCCCCCCCCTTTTTTGAAAACTCTTGAGTTACAAACATATTTGAACACACAAATGTTTTTTTTTTTTTTTTTTTTTTTTTTATCCCCCCCGATTTTTGAACAGTCACCATTGACATACGATGCAACAAAGATTTCTAAAGTCAACAGAATTTACTAATAGACCAGAATATTTAGATACCTTTAATGCTTCTTGAGTTACAAGCATGCAAACTGCAAACTTTGGGGAAAAAAAATAGACAAAAAGTGCTTTTTGCCATTTTTTTGAATGGTCACTATTGGCATATAATGCAACAAAACTTGCTAAAGTCAAAGATCAAAATCAATATTTCTAGCTAGGGACCATAAATAATGGTAATTGTGATTGCAATAAACAGACAGAAGTATCAGCACACATTGAAATCCCCAAATCTCTGTAACTGAACCATATTGGGACTTAAAAATGAAGATACCAACAGAAACGTTTCTTAAGAACCAAAGTATAAAAGGATATTAAAATATCTTTAATGCTTCTTGAGTTACAGGCATGCAAACTTTGGAGAAAAATACACACAAAATTTTAATTGTTCACCATTAGAATATAATGCAATTTCTAAAGTCAACAGATTTTACTGATAGAATTACCAATCTGTGTAAAAATAAAGTAATGATTCTGCCATCTTTCTAACGTCGTTTACAAAGCCTGCAAATTGGCTCAGGTCATTTTGACCCTCTTCTACAAAATAGTCGGGGCCACATTAAGGTCCACATATCTCTGGAAATGGACCATATTGGGGCTTAAAAATGAAGATACCAAAAGAAAAGTTAGAATCTAAAAGGATATCGAGATATCTTTAATACAGGCATGCAAAATTTGGGGAAAAAAGGACTTTTGTGTATTGTACTATTCTATAGTCATTTTTACCCCCCTGTAATTCGGCTCCGAATATCAGATGAAAATTGTCTTTTTGTCACAAATTGCTGAAATATGTCAGGTCTTTAAAAACCAAGCAGAAAAGTTATATTAGAAAAGTCCAGGGTGTCCTTTTTTAAATACTTGAATGAAATTCACAGAAAAGAAACAATGAATTGCACAATGAGCCGATACTGGAATTAAGGATGAGCAGCGTATGTATTGACTGTAAAATTGATGAAATGTGCGTGTAATAGCAGTAAAGCTCCACCAGATGGCAGAGCAACATTTGTTTTTCTCCATCCTCAGACGCTGCTTTCAAAATCCTCAACCCCAAGGCTGTGCCCAACTTCTTCCGTCTGAACAGCCATAACGCTATCCTTGAGTTTCTACTGCAGGTAACATCAGCTTTATTTATTCATTCATTCCATTTGGTGGGTCTTTTCTGCTCTTCAGAGTCTCAGACCCTCGCACCTGACTCCAGATCCATAGTGAATGATTAACGGCTTGCATTTGAATCGTTCATCATAAGCTAATGCTTTCACACCAGGGTACGCCGGAGATAAAAGAGCACTACATCGACTCGAAGAAAGACGTGGACCGGCACCTGAAGTCCAGCTGTGAGCAGTTCATACAGCAGCAGACGCACATGTTTGTGGGAAACCTGGAGGAGTTTCTCACCAAGGTCAGGATTCACTCGGAAATTCTCACTCCCGCACCTGCAGTGCATTATGGGTCGGCAACCGATTACATGTAATCTGGATTACGTAATCAGATTCCAAAAATGTAATATTTTTAAATACTAGTAATCAGATTACATTTACTTTTTTTATGGATTACATATTTACATATTATTCACATTGTCACGTGACTAGCAGGTAAACAGGTGTAATATTTCATATTTTAAAGGTCCCATGGCATGAAAATGTCACTTTATGAGGTTTTTTAACATTAATATGAGTTCCCCTAGCCTGCCTATGGTCCCCCAGTGGCTAGAAATGGCGATAGGTGTAAACCGAGCCCTGGGTGTCCTGCTTCGCCTTTGAGAAAATGAAAGCTCAGATGGCCCAATCTGGAGTCTTCCCTTTATGTCGTCATACGGGGAAAGGTTACCTCCCCTTTCTCTGCTTTGCCCGCCCAGAGAATTTGGCCCACCCATGAGAAAATGAGCTACTACCGTGCGAGGCGAGCGCAATATTTTTTTTTCCTCGAGAGACATCATGGCTTGCAAAAGAGCGAAGCATGGCAGTTGCCCCGCCTCTCTCCTCCTCATTAGCATTTAAAGCTACAGACACAGAAACGGCACGTCCTAAGGAAAGCTCATTGTGGGACTGGCTCGTAGTGGCTGAAATTCTGCACCAAGGCTGAATTTCGGGAAAGAGACTTCAGATACAGTACTAGGGACCACTTAGGCCTATATAAAAGCATCCAAAAAGCAGCATGTCATGGGACCTTTAAGTGTTTTAATTTTGATTGAAAGATGTAGTTTAACATTTTTATGATTTAATTTATTAAATTAGCTTTCCATTAAACTCAGAAACCCACTGCAGTTCCTAAACCTTGACGCAATGTAATGTTTATTGTACTTCATGTATGTATTGTCTCCTTGTATTTTCATATCAATATGGTACAAGATTTTCCTATTTAAATCAATGTGATAAACACGTTACATCCAAAGTAATCTAAAAGTAATCAAAAAGTAGTCTGATTATATTACCTGAAATGTGCAATGTAAAGGATAATGTTACTAACTACAATTTTTTTTATATATAATTTGGAATCAGTAACGGTGAAAAAAAAAATACGTACGAATGTGATGAAATTGTATTAGTCCTGTGCTTTATTTTAGTGCAGTGGTTTATTTTCATTATGTAAAATAAGTATATA